GCTCTACAAAAAAGCATCAATGACTTTTTTCTCTAAAATCAGCCGATTTGAGATCTCATTTAACTCAAAATCGGCTGATTTTAGAGAAAAAATTCATTGATGCTTTTTTGTAGAGCGGACATTTTACCATTGAAATTTACTTTTGGCAAGCCGAGAAAATGTAAAATGCGCAAGTTACAAGCAAAACAGTTAAAAAAAAGGTCACTTTTTCATTAAAAATAGAGTTTTCTCAAAAACGGCTGCTGAAACCGATTATAAAAAATATATTGCGCCAATCTATAGCCCTTCAGAAATACTTTGACCGAAAAAAAAGTCTAGTAAATAAACTTTTCATTTAAAGTTGGTTCCCAAGCACCGTGCATTTCATTGTCATTATCAAATTCCTCATTATGTTGGTTAACAATCTGTAAATTGGTATTATTTTTTTATGATTTTCATTAGTTGATTAATTGATAAGTTTTTTCAGATCACTTGTGTTTTGGTTTATTTTATTGTTATAATAGTCATTTTTAGTTTTTGATATTAGTTTATTTAAATTATTTTTAAATGTTTTGTTAATAGTATAGTTTTTTTTGTAGATCTTTTTTAAGTTTATCCCTATTTTTAATAGAATTAATTAAACCATTTGTTATCCATGGCTTTATTTTTTTATGAATTTTAATATTTTGAGTGGTTTGACATGTTTCAATGATATTAAGATATGTATCATAAAAAAGTGGTGTTGCAATTTCTGAATTATTTTCATTGTAAACACTTTCCCAGTTTCGAATTTTTGTTTTAATTTATCAGTATCGATTTTAGTTATAGTTTTATATGCATTGTAGGAACTTGTGTAGTTTTTGGCAGATTGTGAGATATTTATCATAATAGGATCATGATCAGTCATATCATAGCTGATTACATAAGAGTTCACTAATAGATTTTCAGTCTTAATATTGTTTTTTAAGAATATATGATCCAAGCATGTTTTATTTTGTAGCCACATAATAGTGTTTATGTAAGACATGAAACCATGGGAGTAAAAAGTTGCTTGGTAATCAGTAGTTACTTGATTGGTTACATTTAGGAGATCAATATTAATGTCCCCTATGAATATTTCAATATTTCTATGTATAATAGGTGATTTGGTATGAAATTTTCTAAATCCCTTATAAATGCTTGTGCAGAGGTTTGAGGAGACCTGTATACACCTGTAAGGCCAATGGTCCGATGATTGACTTTTAGATTTATTTTAGTGACACAAATATCAGAATATTCTAGTTTAACTATATTTAATTCTGCATTTAGATTTGACCTGACCAAAATTACAACACCATCATTTCTGTTAATGTTACCATTGTTATAGTGGGTGGTGAAGCCATCTAGGTTAAATTGAAAAATAGATTCTAATTGGAAACATTCAGTCAAAACTATTATATCACAATAATTAATTTTATAACTTTCTAGAAATACTAACAACTCATCAAAATTCTTTTTAATACTCCTAATATTGAAATGTAAGACATTTAGGAGTTTTTCATTTAAATTAATATTATTTGTTATATTAGCAGCATCAATGACTTTATTAATCGAATCAATTTGAATAGAATTTAATAGATTATTTTCTTGATAAATAATCATGAACTATTTGAATGTGTGTACAAATAAAAGACAATATTGTTCCATCTATTTCATCTATACCAGCAGATTTTTACAAGTTGTTTTCTGTATAATTTCTGTTATTTCCTTTGGGTAGTTGGAGTTAAAAATAGAGTGCTTATAGAAAAATCTTGAAGCCTTGCTTCACTATAAGTTGGTAGTCTATATCTGTAAATTGATTATTAAAAGCATTACATGTATTTTGAACACCAGAAATTTTGTTGCCTTGACAATTTAGCATCTCGATGGGTAATTTTTACTTTCCTATCTGTATACAGATATAAGGAAAGTATAGGAATCATGATTTTTTTCGACCTCGAGTTTTTGACGGATTTTTACGTTTTGAGGTCCCCTGAATCCGTTTTGACTATTTTCGCGATGATGTATGTGTGTGTGTGTGTGTGTCTGTATAACGCATAACTCATGAACCGATACACAAAAAAACACCAAATTTTAAACTTAAGCTTTGTTTCAGCGTCCAATGAGCTGATTAGATTTTGGGCAGAGTCGGAACATCTGGGGGGGTACTTTATAGGTAGTCATTTTTATATTTTATGGAATATATCTGTTATTTACGTTTGGAGAAGAAAATTCTTCAAATAAAAGTTACTTCTAATATAATTATCTATAATTTTTGTTATATACAAAATTTTCCTAAAATGGTCCGTATTCGAGAAATTTGACAAAATGTAAAAAAAATAATTTTTTATAAAAATTGATCAAATAAAAGTTGTTTGTAATATAATTCTCTATAATTTTTATTCTATACATAATTTCTCTAAAATGGACCGTATTCGAGATATTTGAGAAAATGTGTAAATTTCGAATTTTGAAGAAAACTCAAAAACGGATAAAGAAAAAAACATTAAATTTTAAACTTAAGGTTTATTTCGGCCTGACGTGAAATGATTAGATTTTGGACATAGTCGGAACATCTGGGGGGTACTTTATAGGAGGCCACTTTTATATTTTATGGAATATATCTGTTATTAATGTTTGGAGAAAAAAATTGTTCAAATAAAAGTTACTTCTAATATTATCTATAATTTTTGTTTTTTGTAAAAATTTCCTGAAATGGTCCGTATTCGAGAAATTTGACAAAATGTGTAAAATTCTGATTTTTATGAAAGTTTTTAAAATAAAAGTTGTTTGCGATATCGATCTCTATAATTTTTGTTTATGCATGATTTTTCTAAAATGGACCGTAATGAAAAAATTGTAGGAAATTTAAATTTTTCAGTATTTTCGTTTTCCATGAATATCTATAGAAAAATGTTTCGAGGTAGATGTATGTGGACAATGTATATATTTAGTTTATCCTCTAAACATTTATAGAGATGCTGTAATAGGTTGTACAAAATAACCGGAAAAAGCCTACAATAACTAGATAGGAAAGTCATGTGTTGGACACATCAGATTTTTTTACTGATTTTTCTTTTGACTCATTTACAATTCTCCAACATTCTTTTGTTGAATTTTTTGCATTAATTACCCTTTTATTATTATATGAATGTTTTGTTGATTTGACTTTATCATAAATTATTTTGAGTTTTATAATAATAATAATAATTGTCATTTATTGAACTGAAAATTCAGTCAAATAGGCTATCGACCGAAATCCGTCTGCCTTGTTTTTTATATCTATCCCTAATAGTATCATTATTACTAGTTATGTATATAATATGTAATTCACACAGCATCTCATGCAGTGCACTTAGTTCCGCGTTATAAAAATTAAATATTTTTGTATTGTTTAGGTTTAACTTTTTTACTTTCCTATCTGTATACAGATATAAGGAAAGTATTCGCTCCGTGCGCGACAGCAGCGCCAATTCGTTTTGGTACTAATGGGCTATTTCTGCCTATACTGACAAATGCAATTTTTAATAGAATTCGTAATTAAAAAGTATATATGTTAGTTTTAATAAAAGTATATGGATTTGTAAAACAAGTAAAACATTAATTTATTGTTATTATATATTTTTAGTTCTTAAATTAAAGAAAATTATGTATAATCAATAAAAATGAATAATAAAATATAGGCAGGCAACAGTATTTACTGGAAAATGTATGAGAAGTTGCCTAAGTCTAATAAGTTGTCATTGAAGAATTATCCTATTCTGTCAAAATAAAAAAATACCATTTAATAATAGCGTGAAGTTAAAATGTATAAAAAAAGGATCGTTATTTATATTTTCATTTTTGTTGGAAAGAAAACATAGAATGAATGATTAAAACTAGTTTCCCATCAGTAAGTCACAAAATTGTATTCTAGCCACATATAATCAAAGGAAGAAATGTTGAAATCTAGTCTTTGTTGAATGAACATTTAAGAATAAAGGGATATTAAAGAACATCGTAAAATAATAATTTATTGTTTATTTAAAACCTTTCAAGTTTCTGATGTCTACTATTTCCAGCATTACTGTTATTATTACAAAAATAAAGGTAATTTTTCTTCTTATTGTACATCATTTCTTTGATTTAATTTCCACTTTGTTACTAAATTTTACTATTTTTTTTTGGTAGTATTTGTACAATTTTCAACACAGTATTGTTTTTACCTACTTTTTTGAAAAAAAATTAAATGTATACGTGTATTTGATATGCCAAAATTACAAAATATCGCCCTAAAATGCACGAATTATCCGCAGCTAGCGCTAGTATCGCTTTTGCTTCCCTGTCCATGACTTCGCACGGAGCGAATAGGAATCATGATTTTTTTCGACCTCGAGTTTTCGACGGATTTTTACGTTTTGAGGTCCCCTGAATCCGTTTTGACTATTTTCGCGAATTGTTCAAATAAAAGTTACTTCTAATATTATTATCTATAATTTTTGTTTCATGTCAAAATTTCCTGAAATGGTCCTTATCCGAGAAATTTGAAATTCTGATTTTTATGAAAATTGTTGAACTAAAAGTTGTTTGCGATATCGATCTCTATAATTTTTGTTTATACATGATTTTTCTAAAATGGACCGTAATGGAAAAGTGCTAAATTTAAATTTTTCAGTATTTTCGTTTTCAATGAATATCTATAGAAAAATGTTTTGAGGTAGATGTATGTGGACAATGTATATATTTAGTTTATCCTCTAAACATTTATAGAGATGCTGCAATAGGTTGTTCAAAATAACCGGAAAAAGCCTATAATAACTAGATAGGAAAGTCATGTGTTGGACACATCAGATTTTTAAATGTAAAAGCGTTGTTGAAATGGTACAAAAAAAGTCGAACAGAAGCTGCTAAATTTGTTATTGAACTCAGATGAGTTATACATGTCTTTCCATTACTCGTTAATAATTATATTTTTAAAGATACTGTCACTTAAGTACCTATAAAAAGTAGAAATTTAATAGTACCTATCAATCTCTTTGACCAAACCATCAATTATCTGATGTTTTGTCATTTTTTCATTAATAGTAGGAGTGTTCTTTATGTCTCTGGCTCTAGTGGCATAGTCCAACGTACTTGTTGTTTCTTCATACGAATTATGTGCTGGTGATACCGTCGCTATTATGACTGTTTTCGTGTGACCTCCCAATGAATCTTGAAGTATTCGAGTCAATTTGGAATCTCGATATGGAACATGTTTCTGAGACTTGTCAACTAAAGCATGGATAACTCTTCCTAAAGTCAATAATGATCTAAAAACAACATTTATTAATATTTATATTAAAATATTATCATACTTAACATACCTGTTAATATTAGCCAGTTCTGTAGCTCTCAAATCTTTACAACCTGACCTGGCAATATTTTCATTACCAGCTAAATCAACTAAATTAATTTTTCCAGCCTTTAGAATATCATCACCAGAAGGAGTACTTTCTCTTGTAACAACAGTGATGGTAAAAACCGTGTGAGATCTTGAACTTTGATGGTTCATGAGAGTTGGTGCTATTTGACGTTTTACAATTCCTCTCTGAAAAAGTTTGCAGATACCTTCACCATCGTGGGTTGATATTTCATTAACACCCTGAATTGAAACAGAACCTTTGTTGTCAGTGTATATTCTGGAAATATTGAAATATCACAGTATTTTGCATACGGAAAAAATAATATACTTTTAAAAATTAAATCTGATATTACAATGTTTCCTAAATTATCAAATTAATAAAATTTGTATTAGAAAATCACAAACATTTTAAATTGAATTAATAATATTTTTTTGTCACAAAACAATCTTAGATCGTACACAGAAATAATTAAATAACATTCTTTATTACAGACTTCAAAATTATTAACTTTTTACTGTATTTCAAAAACATCATATACATTTTTTATGGTTATACAGAATTTAAAAAAATACGGGTGGCACTCGGGGACTGCCGCGGTAAAGCTATTACAGGATTATTAATTAATTACAGTAATAACATGATTAATTACAACAATAAACAAATTATAAATTAATCATAGTTAAATAAGTTAGCACCTAGATGTGGGCACCTGTTTGTGCTAGACAGACTAAAAAACTAATACATAAAGATTAAAAAACTAAAATATAAAGTTAATGTATTTTTTATATAAATGTTAAATGTAATAAGGCAGCAATGTTATATTATATAATATGTAACAATGTTATAATCTTGTAATCTACAGGGTTCCAACATATTACAGTGAGATGTGTGTTATTCTAAGAAGAATCTATACAATTTTGAGTAGTTTTGGTAGATGAAAGATTTGCACGCTTTCTTAAATAAATGTTGTTTGTTAATTAATTTGATCTCAGGAGGTAAAGCATTGTAACATTTTGGTCCTAAGTAATTTATACAATTTTTGAAAGATTCACTATTAGGCATAGATATTTTAATATTCAAGTTACTAAAAGTTCTGGTTTTATATTGATGACCCAGAGGTTTTTTTTAGTACCTCATGTTTTTGTATGTAACAGCATATTGTGTTCATGTATAAACTTCTAACATTAGATATTGTTTCATTATATAGTAGGATATAATCGCTGTTTGTTGAAAATAATTTTCAGTATTTTACTTTGTATGACATTTAGTGGTCTAAGGGTTGTTTCATATAGGCCTCCCCATACTAGTATACCATAACGTAGAATAGATTCTACCAAGCTAAAATATAGCTTATTAAGAGATTTTGGTTAAGAAATTGTTTTAAAAGATAAAATTTATAGATTATAAATCTAAGCTTTTTTGATATATATGCTATATGAGAGTTCCATTTTAGATGTTGGTCTATAATTATACCCAAGTATTTAGAAGCTTTTGTTTCTTGTATTTTAGAGCCCAAGTTACTGGTAACTATTTCTTTAAAATGAGGGCGATCAGCTAATGTTTTAGAGAATGCTATATAGTTCGTTTTTTTGATATTTAAGGATAATTTAAAAACGTCTAACCAGTTTTTTACATGTTCAATTCCTTGTATGGCTTGCATTTTTGTAGACTCCCAATCTTTACTACTGAAGACGAGCACAGTATCGTCTGCATAAGAAATTACTTTACCTTGAATGTCAATCTCAGTCAAGGCTTTGATGTATAAGTTGAATAATTGCATAGCATTTTTTATAAACTCGTTCAATTATAATTATTTATTTATTTTATTTATGCAGTATTTTTTTTTCTTTGATATCAATTTAAGTTTTTTCTATGATATTAATTCAAGTTACACTTTTTGAGCGTGGTGACCGATAAGAAAACAATGTTTTTTCTTTTATTGATTAAATGAGAAGTTAATATTGTTTAAAATATTTTTATTATCTTACAACACATCCCAGACAGCACACCAAATCCTTTGGATATCTACTGAACATCCCAATATCCACTGAATGTCCAGTCCATGGTAGATATATATTTTATATCCATGAGATGTAATTTATAGACATGCAAATGTCCATAAATAATAGTAATTATATAGCAAATTATTAAAAAAAATACGCCATTGCGGCTAATAGTACCGTTCAGATATTTAAAATTAATTTTTTTAAGGTGTATTCAATATCCCATGAACATCCACTAAATATATCAAAGTCTAGGCGCGAACGCAAACCATCGTGGATGTCCACTAGATGTTATTTGATTCTGCTTACTAAGTATAGATGGCGATACTACTATCGCATCTACTCATGCTCGACCCGCCGTAATAGAGTTCGATCGAAATTTTTGTCCTACAGACTCCATTAGAGACTGGTGCCGAGAATTTCCATTTATTGCTGAAGAGTCCTAATAATGATGACTTTCTCCTTGGCGGGCAAAATCAAAGGCAGAGTGTTGAAAATATTTTGAACGTTGAAAATATTTTTTATCTCTATTTTCTTTCGACGTTATTCAATAATCATTGGTTACTTACGAACCTCTACTAAAGATACCCATAAAATATTTTGTTGAATATCCGAGTATCTTCTATATCCTGGGATATAGAGGGACATTTGGTTGGATATCCATATTGGATATATTGAATATCCACAAAATATATTCTGTGGATATCTCTGGGATTTCTTGTATTTTCTGGAAGATACCCATTAGATATTTTGCTGAATTAGGATATCTTCTATATTCTGGATATAGACGGACATTTGGATATCCATTTTAGATCCACGGAATATTTCTGATATCCTGTGGATATATTGGATATCCACAAAGGATATTCTGTGGATATCTCTGGGATTTGGTGTGTTGTCTGGGATGTAGGTTATTCAGGAATTTTTATCATTGAAACTATAGATTTATGTTAACTGAAATAAGAAACATAAGTTTGAAACCTGATATCCTCTATATATCTGGAAAATACCGCGTCAATGGCGGTCCCATATTTTGTTGTGAATTCTTGTGGATCATTATTCATTTTCAAATTAAATTTTTCCGAAATTGTGTCTAAAAGAGATAGAATCAGTTATGAGCAGTTAGCAGCTAGTCTACACGCATACGTCTAGTCGCACGCACACAAACACCGTGTCGAAGTCTGCCGAATTGAAACGACGTTAGACGATGCACGGCTTTCAACGCCTCACCGCTGTGCCGGTCGGAGTGAGGGGTGTTTTTCGATTTTTCGGTTTTTCAATTTTCTTTTATTGAATAAATGAGAAGTTAATATTGTTTAACGCCGCACCGCTGTGCCGGTCGGAGTGGGGGGTGTTAGGTTTTTTTCGTTACGGTCGTTACGGAATTTCTTGATTCGGTCACCTCGCTCAAAGCCGGCGATAAAAGCTATGCAATAGCTTAAAAAACCTGAACAATTTATGCAAGAAACAGAAAAAAAAACTAAAAAAAAATCCATGTATTAAGTCCGTTATTCTTGGAATATTCTGATAACTTTGCATTATTTTGGAAAATGTATATTTTGCTAACTTTACAGAATTTTTTATATTTGTTTAATAATTTTATATGAAGAGGTAGAGCGTTATAAAACTTTGTCCCTAGATAATTTACATTGTTTTTAAAAAACTCACTATTTGGTTTTGGTACTTTAATGCACATGTTCGATGCAGTTCTAGTGTTATGTCTATGTACTAAAGGCTTTTTTAAAAATTCATTTTTTTGTATACAACAACACACTGAGTGAATATATAAACATCTAGCATTGCTAATTTTTTCATTATATAAAGTTATCTCTTTTATATATTAACTTCAAGATTTTGTTTTGAATAACATTTAACTGATTTAATGTAGTTCCATACAGGCCTCCCCATAATAAGATTTCATACTGTAGTATAGATTCTTCTAAACTGTAGTGTAATGTTATTAGTAGATCCTGGTTGAGAAATTGTTTTAGAAGATAAAATTTATAAAACAGAAATCTAAGTTTTTTTGCTATATATATTATATGGCAGTCCCATTTTAAGTGCTGGTCTATAATTAGACCTAAATATTTGGATGTTTCTGTTTCCTGTATGTCCAAATTTTGACATGTTAAGCTTCTAAATTGAGGTCGATCACCCACTATCTTTGAAAAAACAATGTAGTTTGTTTTGTTAATATTCAAAGACAATTTAAAAACATCCAGTCAGTTTTTGACATGTTCCATTCCAGCTATAGCACATGTCTTGACAGCTTCCCAATCTTTATCACTGAAGACTAGCACTGTATCATCAACATATGATACAACTTTACCTTGAATATCAATCTGAGTTAGCTCTTAATGTATAAATTAAATAGTATAGGTCCCAGAACAGTCCCTTGAGGCACTCCGATTTATATATTTTCAGGGTTAATCACATTGTCTCTGACCTTTACCTTCTGTTGTCTGTGTCAAATAATTTTCAAAAACCTTCAACACAATGCCCCTCACTCCATTCTGTCCAAGAACATTTAAGAGCTTCTGATGTGGCACCGTGTCAAATGCTTTTGCTAGATCTAGAAATATAGCTATACACTTGTTACCAATATTCATTTTCATCAAAATGAAATCAATTTTAACATTTCCGGGTATATATATTTTCAAATGTACTACGTTTATAAGTACCTCTCTGAATTTATTAAACAATCTCAAATTAATTCTCATCACACACAGAATGACAATTTAAGATTCCCTAGCTACCAGATAACGATTTTCAGAAGGTCTCCTTTATATAACTGTATTACTATCTATAATGCTTTGCCTGAAGAACTAAAATCAGAAGCAACATACAAATCTTTTAAAAAAAAGTTAAAATATACCTACAAAAAAGCTCTTTCTACTCTATTACGGAATTTATCAATAAATCTGTGTGATACAGGTCTGCAAAAATAAAAATAAATTATTATTATTGTTAAATTTTACATTTACATATTTATTGTACGACTTGCCTTGTGTATCTTTTTATGTAATAAAGATTAATAAATTATTCTATTCTATTTCATCAGTAACATATGAAATCAATTCATGCATAGCATCTCCTGAGTTAAGACCCTCAGTAAAGCCATATTGGTGCTTGGGAAGTAAGTCATTAGTTTTTAAAAAATCTGTCAGTCTATCTTTCACACATTTCTCAAATATTTTGGCCACATAACTAATAGGTCTACAGTTAGTTATTAATTTTGGATTACCAGCTTTATAAATAGGTGTTATAATTGAAGTTTTAAATTGTTTAGGTACAATTCCTGTATTAAAAATACAATTAATTATATGCATTAAAGGTTCAAGTAAATACGGATGTAGTAGTTTCAGATGTTTTACTGTTATACAATCTAATCCCAGGGCACTATTGTTTTTTAAACTACTTATGTATTTTATAATATTGTTTTCGCATATTGGTTTCAGAAACACTGATTTTTCAGTGACACAGGAAAATCCACATTACATTCAGGGATATTTGTGAACATATTAGTACCAATATTCGAAAAGTATTTATTGCACTAATTCACCATTTCATTATCATTTTCAAATTCTTTATTATTTTAACTTACTGTAAAGTATTTTCATCGTCACTTAAAAGATCTCTAATTTCTTCATTGTACAATTCAATGTAAGAAACTTTTACACTCATATCAACATTTGACATCTTGTTGAGTTCATCGAAAATATGAAATGCTGCTCTTGGAATAATTCCAGCATATTCATCCTAAAACATTTTATAATGTACAATCAAAAATGTAATATTTCTCCATGCATTCTAAATCAAATTAAAGTTAAGTAAGTTAGTTTAATATATTTGAAAAACAACACACTTACTTCTTTCCAATTTCCTACCACCCTGCACGTTTCACCAGTCATGGTGTAAGTTTTGCCAGTACCAGTTTGGCCATAGGCGAATGCTGTGCAATTATAGCCCTCCACGACATCTTGAATTAGAGGAGCTACCACATTCATGTACAGCTCAATTTGACTTGCAGTTGGCTTAAAAACTCTGTCAAATGTATACTTTTTCTCTTTTAAAAACATTTCTCTGTGGGTATGGCACTTTACTATATTCTTAACATTTTGATCTTCTTCTTGTCTGCTTATAGGTCTGTGAAGTTAAATTAACATTTATTTTCAAATTTATCATAATTGTTGAATTATTTTCAATTACATTAGTATAAAAGTTATTTGTCAACAATGTAATAACCAATATTTTGTAATGAAATTAATATTTCATTTTAATAATAATAATTTTGCGTTGTCTATATAAAATTGAAATTCCTCTTTCAATAAGAAATTTAAATATCCATAGTATGTATTCAAATTTTCCAAATCGGTCCAACAACAAAAGAATCAAAACCTGTTTTTGCTAAAGTTTACTTTGAATTTTTCATATAAATCCTCAAAAAAACAAATAAAAATTACCTAATGCGAACTACAACTTTTACATTCTGCAATGGTTGGGGATGAATTTTCTTTTTCGAGTTATTGGACTGGTTCGACATGTTTAAAAATACAATAAAATATAAGTAAAACTAAAAAATGCAACCAACTACAATTCACAATGGACGCAAAATTATTTTGGTTTCAATTCAAAATGGATATAACGACCAAATATGTCAACATCAGCTGTCAAAATATTTCAACGTCGACTGTCAAATATGTCAACGTCCACTGTCAAAATTATTGTCAATGTGATTATAGGCGAGTTCGGCAATATAAGCACCTTAACGTGAAATTAACTCATCACGAAGAGAGCTGAAGGGAACGTGCCATAGGTCTGTGATGCCATATGAGAAAAGTGTTCTTTAAATACAATACGGTACCTGTGGTGAACTCTTGCTACTCTTTTCATTCCATAACTATGCAAGGTGCTTGAATTGCCGAGCTCAGCTCATGGAGGTATATTATTTACCGCGTTTGAGAATCCACATCGGATGCATCTGAGATGTTGTGAATTTTTTATCACGTGATAGAGAATTAGATCTGAATGTAGATGTAATAAACAAACACTCTAGACTTTATTTGGTCACGTGATAAAATGTCAATGACAAGTTAGAAGTTTATACTTATTAAATTTGACTGTTGAGACTACAAATCAACCTAAATTTGAAATATAAACAAAAATTAAACAAACTAATCACTTTTATATTCATAACAAAGGATAAATTGACAAACAAGACTTCACAGAACACTTACTTTCTGGCATGGAACGAACATCTCATTCACATCTCATTTCAAATCGAGATGTAAAAAATGTAATCTGAATAGGTACATCTGGGATAAACAAACGCAGATGTAGATGTAGTAGATGTGTCCGATGTGGATAAAAAAACGCTCGAGATGTAAAAAATGCATCCGATGTGGATTCTCAAACGCGGCAATTATTATGCATTATTCAACCCATTGAATTCAACCTTATCAGCTACAATAACCATAGAAAAATAAAATAACCGTTGTATATAGCTGATTTGTCACACCACCTCATTGATCTATAATTTATTCGAGAATTACCAAAATTACAAAATTTAGAACTCTCATTAGGGTCATTCTCTAGAGTCCTGAGTTTGATAATTGACGTCATACATCAAGGTTGGCAAGAGCAGTGTTGCCGAATAAACGCTAAAAGCACAATTTTTGCGCTTTTTGTATTTATTTTTCCATTTTATTGTGCTTTTTTGGCGTTTTTATCTGCAAAGGCGGTATGATAACAAATTTTGGTATTCAAATAAATTATTATAGTTAAAAACGTATTAAATAAGCATAGAGTTAATTTACAATAAATCTTATTTATACTCTTATTTTGCACTATTTTGGAGTATTGCGATAATTGTTTTCTCGGTATTGTCAACACTGGATAAAAACGCAAGACGTCACGAAACTCACGATTTCTATTCTCACGAAGTCGTAACGGTCGTAACTCTTCGCCTTGTCACGCTCAAACGCACCCATAGATATGAGAGGAGGGGAGATAGGAACTGTCATTTCAGAAAACGTTTACACAAGGAGAACCTGCCGGGGAGGCGGAGAGTCTGCGCAGTTGAGTGTTTCCAGGATTGTACTCAGTTTTTTTTATTAATTCAATAAAAATATACATATAATTAAATGTAAATTACGAATACTTTTTTAATAAGAGGAATACACAATTAAACAAGATTGTGTATTAGTTGAGATAATTTAAGTATAGCTAGTGCGGCCAGGGACGTCTAATTATTTGCGTTGGCGTTAAGGGGCAACTATACATACATTTATATTATTCTCTTTAGATTATCTTCCGATGAGATGAGACAGGTTACAAAATTAGTTTTATATTAATAAATAACTAAATTTCATAAGGTTAGCTGAATACAACATAGGCATTCAAAAAAACATTCATCATATCATAGATAAACGAAATACAATGCTCACATATAGGTACGTAAAAATTGATTGAAATATTAAAAATTATTTATAAATTCATCTAACGAGTAGTCTTTAAATTTTTGTATTAATTTTTTTCTTTATGAGTGTTTATGTAACAAGTGATATACATACAGGGTGACACCGAAAACTTCCCAAATTAAATATCTTTCTTCCATTAAATAATGTGAAAAATCGCAAAAACCCGTCAATTTTATTTTCAAGGAGGACACCTACAATAAATACTTTTAACACTCATCGTGGCTCAACCTCCTAGGAGGGGTAGTTGTTACCCTTAAATCTTAAATGGGAAAAGGGGTCAAGAGGCACATCATTTTAAAGGGCGTTTAATTATCTTCCCAATGGTACCCTAATTTATTAAACAAAAATTATTCTATCAAGTTAAATAACAGGAGGAATATCAAGTCTACATGTTTAACTTTTTATTTTTTTGGTAAGGTGACTTTTACAAAATAAATAACTTTTAATTTGCACAAGAAATTTTAAAAATAGAACACATAAGATCTACTTGTACACTATTTTAAAAACTTTTCAAAATGTTGTCCATTGTACTGTAAACAGTAAAAAGTCTGTTTCCCAACTCCTCTCTAACATTTCGGAAAACTTTTACCGGAAATTGACCGGCATGCTTGTGTAATTCTCCTTTTAAGATCATCAATATCAGCAGGTTGTGTTTCATAAACAACGAATTTAAGGTGTCACCAAGGAAAAAATTCTAAAGGAGTTAAATCAGGTGATCTTGGGGGCCATTCAATTGCTCCCCTTCTGTTAATCAAAGGACCTGGAAATCTCTGTCAGACGAGAAGAAAAAATGAGGTGTAGCAGCGTCCTGCTGGAAATGTAACACATCTCCTGTAAAACTAAATTACCTTCTGCATCAGTTTGTTTCTAGCTCCTGAGTTTATAAGAGGATCAATAATCTCTGCAAGCATATTAAGGGACAGATCGCCTGGCAAGTTTCCTTCATTAAATAAAGAACCAATAATTGCGTATGCCCTTCTTGAATAATATACCTGGTGTTCATTGCTCCAGTACCAACATTTGTGTTTATTACATTGTCATTTAGAAAAAAATATAAAATAAAATGTCATCACTGAAACAGATATTCAGCAGAAGATTGGGGTTGGCGTTAACTTGATCAGACATGGTTTTACAAAACTCTATTCTTTTATCAAAATCATCTTCGTAGAGCTCTTGAAGTAACTGCATTTTACAGGAATGAAATTTATGCATTTTCAGTGCTCTTCTTACAGTCTCGCGTGATATTCCCATCTGTTCTGCTACTATTCGTATGGAGCTAGTTGACACGGTAACAAATGTTCCCAAAACCTCAATTAGAGCTTCTTCATTTAGTACTCGTCGGTTCTTTTCCTATTTTTCACCGAACCAGTTTCCAAAAATTTTGCTACTAAATCGAGAGTATAAATATGACTTACATTACAATTAGGATGCCTTTCATTTAAATGCTGCCCTTCGTGCGCATTTTCCAACCTCTTCATAAAGGATAATTATTTCGATTCTTTCCTGTAGAGAGTAAACCATTTTTGCTATAGAATTACAACCATTGTTATCTCCTGATCACAAATGAATACCAGATGCTTACCGTTTCCACTATCGAGTCGAATATTGTAGACAACGAGTGAAATATTTATTAAATTATACCTATCAAAACTTAATCTTGGAAATAAAGGCAAATTTAAGTTTAGGCTGGGGACCAATGAAGAAAACAAAACTAGGTACTTATTTGAACTATTTCTTTTATTTGAAAATCTTGCAAGATGCTACAGAATACAAAAATATTTAACAAACATTGCAAGTATTTCAATAATAGTTTAGTATCAGGTGTAAAAGTTATTAAAAAATAAATGAGACACTTAATTCAAAGAAAATTACCTAACATTTGAAAATCCTTGAAAAAAAACATATATTGCAAGCAGTTATTTTAATAATAGTATTAGGGGTACAAATTATAAGAATTGAATAACATTTTGTTCAAATACAATCTTCAGGACATTAACAAATACAAAGAATATATAACATTTAATTCAAAGAAAACTACTTATTATTAAAATATCTTTAGGATACTAGACAGGTACGGACTTTTTAACACAGAAGGTATATCTTACAATGAGTTTAACAAAGTTTAATAGGAACATGCAGATAACAAAGGGAGACCACTGTCAGAAAGCATCGATATGGTTCCAACTTACGTTCTTTTCACTACATACATCGACACAAATTTAGATGCTACGAGTGACAGGAGTCTCTGCCTGATATTCGCAGGTTCCTAATTCAAATTGCTTTATTGTTGAAAAATACATCGTATTGACAAAGACAGAAAATAAATATATACATATTTAAAAAAATGTGTACATACTAATATAAATGTATATTGTACCCAGATACAAACAACCGATTGCAACAATATTCATTAAAATTTATAGGTACGACAAACTTTGACAGAGTTTGAGAATGTGATTTGTCTTAATGATATGAACATCAAATTACGTTCAGTCTAATAAAATTATACGATCATTAGATATTGAAAGATATATATAAGTGTTCTTCCAACTGGGTGTCAATTACAATATAGAATTACAAAATATATAAAAATATAATTATTTGTATGAATTGTATTAAATTTAAAACTGGCTGATTGGCTAAGGATCTATATATATTTTTTATTATAATTTATAGATACTGTAAAATAGAAGGTTAGATTTTTTATTTAAAATTGTACAATATTTATTGTATTATCTAAATTGGGCTTTTTTTCTTTATTTTGGACATATCGAGAGCCACAATGCAGGACCTCGTAACTAACATTGCCACTGAAAATTATATTTTATGATAATCTCGTTTAAAAGATTCCACTCCATCTACTGTATAAATGAAGTATGTATTAAAATTTTTGAACAAAATATGGTTAAATTTTAGTCCCATTATAGAGTAAAATGGATTGTTCTATGAATCTTTTTTTTTTTTGATCTCTTGAAAAATTTTGATTTTGCGACTTACGAGGTCTAGCCTTGTTGCCTTCGATATGTTGTTTACAGTCGTCAAAAGTAATTGTAAAATATATAAAAATATTAAGGTATAAATAAGTAAATTACATACAACTTAATTATATTATTTTTGAAAGAACTCTCGATCATTGCCTGATTAGAAATACGTCTTGTATTAGAAAAGTATTACATTTTTTTAACTATTATGCTTTATAAATTTTTTTATTGAGCTAGAATATACATTGGTCTACTTATTATAAGGTATACTTTCCCTTTTAAAAATTCTATAGCAGTATATGAAATACAAAACATACACAACATATTACAAGTAGATATTTTGATAAGAGTATCAGGTGTACAAATTATAACAACTACATGCCATTTATTGACATTTAATTCTAAGAAAACTACCTATTTGAAAACATTAACGACACAGTAAAAATGTTCCAGCATTGATACTTATCATATTTCTCTTCTTTAACACAGGTAGAACTTGCTAAGGGAACGAGTGTAACATTGCATCATTTATATGTCTGCTGTCTTTTTTGATATCTGTACCACATTTAGTTTGTTTAGATATCTGCATTTCTGTCTTCTTTACTGTATTTCTGCAATTAAAAAAAATCACTATTTACCAGATATTTACATGGAAAGATTTAAGATTATTAAATTTGCATGCTTATAGCTGTGCTTGTTTATCATCATATAGGATGCATCTGATGAAATGTGAATTTTTATCACGTAACAGAAGATTAGGGTTAAATGTAGATGTAATAAAGAAACACTCTAGACCTACTAGCCATGTGGTAAAAATGACAATGACAAGTTTTATACTTTTTGTGTTTGACCTTTGAGTCATTATAATATGAAAACAAAAGTAGTTGTCGTTGTAATTTTTCTTATGATTATTTACTTTAAAACTATTTTTTGAATTAAAATACCTACTCTCTAGTTACTGATGGTTAGCGATACCTATATTATAGAAAAAATCTAAATTTGAAAACTTAACAAAAATCAAACAAATGATCACTTTTATATTCATGAGCATATATGGCTAGCATAAACAAAGGATAAATCGATAAACCTGTAACTGAACCTGGCATGGAACGAATCCAACAACAAAAAATGTCAAGTTTGACAATCCTCAAAATATCATTTTAAATAAAGAAAATATAAACAAACGCAGATGTAGTAGATGTGAACAAACAAATAATAATGCTCCAGAGGTAAAAAATGTGCATATTCAAATGCAAGCATATGAAACGAATAGTACATGACATTCAATCAAGTCACTTAAACATAAGAATGAATTCTTTTGTTTCGTTTTCAATAATTTCTATTGGGAGATCATCTCCACTATCTAAATTGCTTAAAATTCTGTAAAACAGTGGTATAATATAGACTGCATAGGCATTATGTTTAAATGAAGTATAAATAAACCTACCTAGCCTCCTTTGCATGAACTTCTGTAGCATGTTCTCTTTTTGATTACTTGGCAAAAATTAAGTAGCAGTAGCATCCCTTCTAATCACAGTTTTATCACTGACTAAAATTCAAAATGCTTCGAACATATTTTAAAATTTTCTTTGTGTGATCTTCCAATACTTTTTATCTAACCTAAAACAGATAAAAATTAATAAATATAATTTATAACTACATGCTGGTTATGAAACACATTTAATCTGGTAACTTACACATTAATGAATGATTTTGGTTAGTTTTCAATAATTTCTTTTGGTAGATCTTCTAAAGCCAGCACTATTAGAACTGCTTAAAATTCTATTAAAAAATGGTTTGAAAAGTTTACTAAAAAAAAGAAGGCTTCATTATAAATAGTGTTAGCACGCATATAGGGTATTACCTATATTTAAATGAAATAGAAATAAAACTTACCTAGCATCCTTTGGTGACATTTTCTGTTCATGAGCTTCTGGAACATGTTCTTTTTTTTATTACTTGGCCAAAATAAAGTAGGAGTGGCATTCTTTTTAATCACAGTTTTATCACTGACTAAAATTCAAAATAAGAAATGCTTGAACGATTTTGAAATATTTCCTTGGCATACATTTTCTTTATAGGAGCTTCCATTACATTAAGCCTTTTTTTTCTAACCTAAAAGACAAATAAAAACGAATAATTATATATAACTAGACAAGGTTTTTATTAGAACCCCAGTATGGATACTGGGCTAGAACAATAATTAAATACCTAATTGATTCATCCAAAAATAATTGTTAAATACGGGTCTGTATTGGTGTTAAAAACTTACTTATGACAAGTTCTTCGGAATTATTTCATCGGTTTGGACAGAATAAAACTAAACATGTTTTAACCATTGTTTATAGAAGTCTTTAGGACGTCTTTAGGGATCAAAATAACTTTCCAAAACTCACAAAAACTTTAAAAATCGTACAAAAAATTGCTAAAAATTACAACAATCACAAGACAACTAAATGTCAAATGTCACAATATTCTAACTAATGCGCAGACTCAAATCCTCCCCCGCATTTACGCTATCGTAAACGTTTTTGCTTGCCACCCGGGCAGCCATTTTCCTATCTCCCCTCTTCATGTCTATGAACGCACCCCGTTCCCCGATTGCGATTAGCCGTCAACTCGTCAGCCATTTTGAAAAAAAAGTCGATTGAGATTTTGTTGATTTGTTTTACGTCTCGCTCAGTTGCGTAAAAATAAATATATTATTTGTTCTTAATATTTGTTTAGCTGCACTTGACGAGAAGTGAGTAATAAAAGTATTTTTTAATTGCGATATTTGTGCCAACCGGAAATTGTAACTTTACAGCACAATGGCAGAAGAATTCGATGTTGAAGCAATGCTAGAAGCACCATTTAGGAAAGATGTAAGTTTATTTTTAGTATTGGCTTTTATATTTTTGTTCTATGAACAGTTTTTGTTTCAATAAGCAATGTACATGGCAAAATTTTGGAGTAAAATGTATATCGCATTATAAATCAGTTTCCTGGTCTGCCATTTGCAATGCTTGAAAATAAATTGATTGTACAACTTTTACATCACATCCTAATTTTATATTTTAGACGTATGAGGTTTTTTTCGGGCTATCGGCTCCTTCAACATACAGGTACTGATACATCTTAGCAATAAGTTTTATTATATTTTTAATATAGGGATTTGAATGTCTTTCAAAATAAAAAAAAAGTTTTGACAAATTGCTACTTATTAAAGTTAGACTAATACATTCGGAAAATAATAATTTTGAGTATGTGAATACATGAGCTCATAGCTGCTTTCTCGTCATAGGGCTGCTGTAATGGACATCCGATAGCAAGGTCCCTGTCCCATACACCAATCACCCGATTGGTCTCTTTCTGCACAAAATAAACACGAGGTGGAGTTTTGGAATGTAATCACTGAAAAGTACTTTATTTTACAACAGAGGGCAAATAACAGATCCTGCACTTTTTTGCTAAAGAGTACACTTTAGTTGGATTTTTTCTTCTAGGTCTTACATGAAATTCATTTTGATATATTTAATAATTTTGTTAACCTAGAACATTAATAAAAAGCATAAAGTAACATCATAACAATGTTACCTTGCTTTTCCATGTTATGATAAAGAATTAATGTTAATTACTTAAAGGGTATACAAGAAATATTGTCTTTAATTGTTGCTTGACTTGTTCAAATATTTGAATTTTTTTAGAAAAGTATAAAGTTGAAAATCATGAAGGTTTAATTTCAGAATTATATATACAATAAAAATAATCATACATAAATTCTTGTGATTTTTTTAGTATAAAAATCTCAAAACAAATGTGTATTACTTAGTTTAAAGTGTTGAATCTTTTTGACATGGTTAAAGGGTTTTGGTTATTCTTCATTGTAAATAATCAGGTTTGGTAATGATCTAACAAGGTTGTGAGGTCACCGTGAGTGCAAAGCAATCTAATAAATATACAACGCTTATGACTGGACGAAAACTAATAGAGAACATTAGGTCTTTCTAATATTATTAGATTCTTTTGCACTCTTGCTGAACTTCCAACTTGTTTTGATGTATTACTGAACCTGTATGCATATAGCAATATCTTTTTATAAATTGATAAAAGTCAGACAAGATAATTTATTCACAGATTTTTTTTTGAATTCATATAAATTGTAACTTATCATTTTGAACATTAATAAAAGTATGAAAGGAAAATATTTTTCACTTCCTCTATTTGCATTTTTATAAGACAATGTATTTTTACAGTTCTTTTAAAAAGTTACATTTTACTACAAGGTTTTTCTTTTTTTTTTTTAACTAAACACTTAAATCTTATTTTTAAAATAATTAAATATAAATATATTTTATTTTTAATTGAAATAAATATGTATAACAATATTTTGTGGTTTTCGGAGGGTATTTAATCAATTTCATTTTAGTATTATTGTTTTAATCAATAGTGGTAATTTCAGTTTTTTTTTTTTTTATTTATTTATCAGCTGGCCTGTTTCCGAGATTTAATTATCTATGTATACTGTTTAGAATGCTATAATAATCCTACCAGTAATTTTGTCGAACTTTGTGATATACCAAACAAACAATAGCTATTTTTGATAACTCCAGCATATGAAAATAAGAGAAATAAAAATATACAACTTTAATTTTTAACATATTATTTTGCACATCCATCAAGGAGCTACTTAACAAAAAAAGCAACTATTAATCCTTTTGGAACTATGACTGAACTGGTTGATTTATGCTATGCGACTATTGGGAATCATGCCCTAACCTTTTATAAAAGATTTTCCTAACATTACTGAATAAGTATAATGTGTGAGTTGACTGATGTGTAAATAGCATCTGGTAGCGAAGGTGAAAACATTCATAATTTTTATGACTTAATTTTACATAAGTTTCCACACACTTAGGATGTGTGTAGATTATTTTTTTTATGGTTTTAAGTTGGCTTAGGCAAATGTGCATTTAAAAAAGTCGAGTTTATGGGCATGAATATGCATGATTTGAGTCCAAAATATGCAAAAAAAAGTGCATTGAAAATTATTAGGTAGATACGTCATATAAACTAAATTAATTAGATACATTTATTAAAACTACATAAGTGCTTTATTTATTTTTATTTTATTTATTTACGGAAAATCTCCTTTTACAAAATAATTATTATCAGTAAATATTTTAAACCTAACCTAAAGTATCACACAAAAAAGAAAAAACTTAAATATCTTAAATATCACAAAAAACTTAGAGTTAAAGCTAACTTGATAAGTACTCCCTCAGCTGATTTTTAAACCTGAACCAACTAAGGCTAAAGACACACGGCTGTTTTCGCCGAGTCGTCCACCGCCTCGGCGGATGCTGTAATATAATTAAATGGAGTTGTTCACACTATTCTGCGCTGCGAGAAAGCGACGTTACACCGCCGCGCGTACCGTCGTTCGACTCAAATGCATTAATTTTGTGAACCGCTTCGTGTGTTTTGGCAGAGTCGGCGGCCGACTCGGCGGAAACAGCCGTGTGTGTCTTTAGCCTAAGGCTCCCATAAACCCATGCTGTTGTTCAATCAAAATGTTTCTGCAATGCCATGACAAAGGTTTATATAACAATAATTTAGGTATTGCAGAAAGTAAAACTACAGGGCGATAGTTAACTATGTCATCTTTCTGACCATTTTTAATGAAACTATCACGCCATTTTGCAGGAAACTGTTGTAATTTCAAAGAGGAATTAAATAAAAACTGTAGTGGTTTGGAAAGAGTGAATTTACATTTTTTTCAAAAAATAAGCAGGGATTCCATCTGGACCATAACTCAATTTATCTTTTAGGGAGTTAATACCATCCTATACTTAAGGAAAACTGTATAAAGGAAATATCAGGCTGGTTAAAAGCATTATAATAAAGGTTTGGCGCATCTACAATATCTTATAAACACTGGAGAAATGCGTAGCAAACAGATTAGTGATGTCTTTCCCATTATCAGCAATTGTACCATTATAATACATTCTATTGGGAATACCATGGTCTTGTTTCAAAGAATTAATGTGGTTCCAGAAGTATTTTCAGATCTATACCAGAAATACAATTTTCATAATTTAGTTTTGATAAATTTTTACATTGAGACCGAAGGTTAGAAAAATTTACGTAATCAACAGCTGAGCGAGTACTTTTGAATACAGCATGAGCTGCCTTCTTGCAAGAAATCAACTTTTTAAAGCAAACATGACGGGCGCTCCTCCGCCAAAAATCAATTTTACATTTGAGGCAGTTAAAAAAATTGTAAAAAAAATGGTTCAGGCTAATCGTTGTAAAAATGAACCAAGAATGACGTAAACTGCGAAAAACTTATATTTTTAAAGAAAAACAACAAAAATTTCAACTTTTTAACAAATTTAATTTTTTGGCTCTTTAGCGTCATTCTATAACAAATATCTTAACTATTTTCTAAATAACTTTTTTTCAAAAAGATTACCAATTTTAAACAGGACCGAAGATTAACATAGTTTTCATTCCGATACTAATTCTATTAAAACAATGATACCAGTGAATATGGCAACGCTGCTAGTCTATGAAGCCCGTGGTTAAAAGGGTAGCTGCTGTTTAGTTACATTTGTTAATTCCTGTGTCGAAAAATAGGTAGTTGTTTTTGAAGAGGTGCGAAATTATTGTGATCGTCTTAGTTTGTTGTTGAGGCGTTGTTAGGTTTTTGTTTTAGTTTTTAGTTAATTTATGAAATGAAAAATTCTGGAAGGCAAAAATGCACAGCTGACAAATTTCTATTTTATTTGTTTGCTGCCAGAGTTAGTAAATTCTAGAGAAATACGTCATGTGCCAATTAGGGAAAAGAGATTGTCAAGAATTTTGCCCCCTTAAAAAAATGTGTAATATACAGGGTGTTTCTAAATACATGCGACAAAATTCAGGAACTGATTGCTCATATGAAATTAAGATGGGTCTTTCCTATAACAAAATTTCCTCAGCCCACCCCTTTTCGAGATATCGCCCTTAAAAGGTGGTGACTAAAATTGAGTTTTTATTTTTTTCTAAAATTTCAGTAAAGCTAGAAACTTGAAAATCTGTAATGGCAAAGGACTAACCACGGGTATTTTTTCAATATTTCTGTTACATTATAGGGTGGTGAAATTAGCAACACTTACTTTATTTCATATCAAAACTTTTTTTGAGAAAATTTTGATTCAACAGTATTGTATATTTTGTGTTGTAAAAGAGAAAAAATTAACATTTCGTGTTTTAATAGTTATTTTTTTAATTTAATAATCTATGTGAAAAAATTTTTTTTAATACAGACTTTAAAAAATTGTTATATTAATATACTTATTTAATTGTACTTATATTTGTTGTTCCTTTAATACAATAAATACAATTTACCTATCTCCAATTCATCACTTTCCGTATCCATATACCTAGGGTCCGATTACAATTACACCGCTACGTCATAACTATTATTTCGAATTTCCAATATAAAGGGTGTCCCGAAATTAGACGGTCATATTTTAACAGCGTAATCTACATCCTACAAGTATTAGAAATTAAAAATTGAAAAAACCGACTTCAAAAACGTGCAGATGCCATCACTACATCTTAACCAAATTTATATGGGACCACCCCTGAGGTACCTTCTTACTAACAAAAAAAGAATCATAAATCGGACAAAGTGGTAAAGCATTATCGCCCAACATACATAAAAAATGAAGAGTTTGAGGATTTTCTTATGGACCCAATTATTCGATTTTGACTAAATTTATATGGGACTACCCCTGAAATACCCCATTCCTAACAAAAAAAGAATCATTGAAATCGGACACCATGTTAAAGAATTATCGCTGAACATACATAAAAAAAAAAATATTGCGACGAATTG